TTAGTTTTGGTTTTTTTTTTTCTCTCCACTGTGGGATGCGGAGAGATGGAGGCAGGGGGGGAAACGTCTCCGGCGTCCCCGAGCTTTCTTCCAAACCACCCAAACAGGTGTCGGAGAAAGAAGGGATCGGGCCGGCCAGTTTCTATGGAGAACTCTTGGCACGGCGGATCGGAGCTGGGTGGGGGTGGTTGGACGCTCCGTCTTGCGAGGCGGAAGAGGGAAGGAGCCCTTTTTCTGCGGGGAGGAGGGGATGGGATGCTGCCTTTCCCCACGTGCAGGCCCTCAAAAATCCTTTTTTTGGGAGGGGGGGGATTTTGACGAGGGGGGGGGAATGCGGCATCAACCCCCCCCCCTCCAATCAGCGCTTCCAGCGGGTTCGGTTCTTGCTACCCGTCGCCGAGTCGAGCGGGTGCCCAGTTGTCACCCGAACTGCTGATTTTTTTTATTTTATTTTTTTTCCTGTGGTGGTGGGGGGAACCCACTTGGGATTGTGCCGGGGCTAAACCAGGTTCGCGACGATCGGGCCGGGTCTGTTGGGGGCTTGGTGTCGGGTGCGAGGAGCTCTGGGGACACCGATGCTTTGCAGTAGGGTGCTGAGGCCAAATTTTTGACCTCTTTTTATTTTTGGCTCGATTTCTTTCTTTTTTTTTTTTTTTTGCAGCCCTCCCAGCTGCCCGCAGGCACGGCAGCTTCCCCCAAAGATGGTTTCTTTTCAGGCGCGCGCCGATCTAACGAAACGCTTCGTAGCTTAACAAGGGGCCGTGCCGCTCGTGTTTCTCGCCCCAGGTGAGAAGCGGGGATCCTGCAAATTCAGCCCCTGGGGAGCAGGACCCAGCAGCTCCCTGCGGAGATGCTGCCTAACGGGGACTCTTTGGCCCCAAATCTGGTCAAACTGAATCTGTCCTCCCCCAAAAAAACGGTGCAGCTCCTCGATCCGGTACCTGGGCATCGCATCCTGCTTGGTTAGTGTTGTACTACTGCAGAAAGGGACCATTCTGCCTGGTTTTTCCTCTCTTGCTGGCGTGTGGAGCCATGCGTCACCCGAGGACCCGAACTGTTGAAAACCTGGTTATTTTAATATTTTTTACCTAGCTAATCCCAGCCCTGAGGGGTTCCCCCGCCCTTGGTTCACCGTCCTCTGTGCAAAGCTTGGTGGAGGAGGGACCAGTGTCTCTCCTGGCCATGCTGGGATATCCCCCTGGTTTCCCTAAAGCTGGGGTTAAAAAGCAAAAGGCTGGAAAAGCTTTTTCCAAAGCTTTTCCACTCGGATAAGCGGGCCATCAAGGGCCACAACGACGCTGCCCTGGGGCAGTTGGCCTGCTGCAGAGCCGTTAGCATTTCTCCTTAGCATTTCTCCCGTAGCCTTTCTCCTGGGCAGCAGCTCCCATTGGAGCGACC